AAGCTTTATCTTCGCCTCAGTGCCCTGGCGAAGAAGGCTGCGAAGCTTTGGCAAGCAAAGCTTCTTGAGTCTCAGGCCTGGGGTTGGGAAAGGGCTTATTAACCACCGAAATAGAAAGTTTTCCTATTTAAAGTTTAGAATTTAGATTTAGGGTTCAGGGTTTAGGGTTCAGGGTTTAGATACATAGTGTTTTAGTATTTAGTATTTGGGGTTTAGGTTTTCGGGTTTGGGCTTTAGGGTTTATAGGGTTTGGGGATAGGGTCAGTTAGGGTCTTCTACAATTACAGACAAGCCTCTTGCATTCCGCTTCTTGTCAAGAATAGAACAAGCAAATCTTTGTCGGTCTGCACAAACGAGCCTAGTCGACATGAGCTGTTGCCACTCAATCGAAGAAACTCCTTGTTTGGATATACACCCAAGCCTTCTCCACACTAAGCTCTAGGAGGGCTTCCCTAGCTCGGTTTCGATTATTAATTAAATTAAATCAAATAAATCTATATTCTGAAGCCAGCTTTCTTCCCGATTGCTTTGCCAGGTGACCCCGCATCGCTCCAAGCCGCCAGCTGTGGAGCCCAACACCTGAGTTGGGGAGAGGGGTTTCGAGAGGGGCTTCTGACGGCTTTTATCTGAGGCCAGTCTTTGTGGGTCTCATTCAATGTCATTTTGAAATTTTGGGGCACTCGATAAAGCCGAAGCCTGGGGTGAGGCGAAGACGTTCCATGAGGCCTGAAAACGAAAGCTTTTGCAGAGCCCCGCTTCTCTAGCTGTAATCATATATGCGAGTGATGAAATCGTTGCCTGCAGCCTGTTCTCAGGATCCTTGTTGTTACGAGCCGCAGAGTTTTCAAAGCTGAGTCCGGGCTTTATGTTTGTATTTCAGACATCCATGATCAATTGTTCGGTGTTCTTCTGCACAGGCATCGAAGGTGTTTGGCTGGGTATGCAGTAGACTACAACATCATTGGTTGGATTATAGACAGGTGAGCACTTCTTAATGTATTAGTTGAATACGAAGATGAGTAGCCCAGAACTTCTTCGGGTTGAACAAAATGAATAGGCCAGTGGTTCTTCATTAGTCGAATGATATGCGATAAATAGGCTGAACTTCTTGGCTAGTAGTATATGTGTGTGTATATATACACACATATATATAGATATAAAAAACACACATATATATATACATACATATACTTATATACACATATTTTCCTTATTCACGCTAGAGCAGAAGACTTTGTGATTCCATGGACGGAGTAGTTGGGTGGCAGCGAGCTACCAACCCCGTGGAATCGGAGACTTGGTTGCAGTGGCTCGCTCCCGGCTTTTGCGGGTCTCGACATGCACAGGGGTATCCTGGTCTGCTTTGGGTTTGGGGGCCGAGGCTATTGATCTTGCTGGAGTACTAGACTGGGTTTTGGGTTTCGGGGTCTTGGCTGTTCCTCTTACTGGAGCACTAGACCGGATGCCTGGGTACTTTTTTTTTGGGGGGGGTGCTGCTCCTTTAACTTTAGTAGCAGAGAGGGTTCCCGGTACTTTTGGGGGCATTGAACGTGCTGCCTCGGTGCTTTACGTGCCACCTCCTGCCAGCAAGCCTGTCTACGTGCCACCTCGTGCTCTAACGTGCTTGCTCAATCCCAACGTGCCACATCAGCAATTTTCGGCCCGCAACGTCGTACTACTTGCAAAAAAAAAACCACCGAAGCGACAGGCAAATATCTTAGAGGCCCGACAAAATGCTTAGAGGAGCATTCCTCGAGGCATCCCTCGAATACGTGCGTGCTCCCTCGATTCCATAGAATGCGTGCCGCCTCGAAAATCGGGCCCAACACCACGGAATTGGAAACCAGTCGCACGTGACCCCCCACCCAGACAGAACTCAGGGTTCGCCGAGCCACGCCCCGCACCGCGCCCAGGAATGCCAAAGGCGACGTGGTTCAGTGCCAGGCTGCAGGAACTCGCCGAGTGCCTTGGATGCAACCCTGAAC